CACACTTTTGGGCAGTCTCTCAGTGGCTGTATTCAAGGTGTTTTCTTGTACACAAACAATAAGTGAAGTATAGTTGTGTGAAGAATGAAAAAAAGACCTTGAGAGAGGTGGAGATCCTTCTTGCATTCTCATAACATGCACACCTGGTCAGTTGTTGTGTGAAATGGGCATTACTGTCACATTGTTTGGGGAAAGGTTCAGAAAACTTCAGTTGTAGCCCCTACCTCATTTACCATGTACTGATTGATGGTAAACTTGACACTGGTTGTTGCGAGATATGGCATGGTGTTGCCCTCAGAAAACAAACCACTTTTTTGACCTCACACTGCCCCTTTAATTTTTTCTTTTTTAAACATGATCCCAAGACATACGTACAGTATGTGTGTCCAGTGAAATGAAGGTCTGAAGTGAGTCTGACCTTTTGTCTGTGGGTGGAGCAGATCTTTCAGCAAGCAAAGCTACATGGGTGCCAGCAATTGCTGAGATAAATCTCTAAAATAAATATATATTTTAAACATGTTTAACTTGAAATAACCTTATATAAAAATACTGCATATGCATTGTTAAGAAACATATTTTATGTTTATTTTATTTTTATTTATATACTGTACTACCATATTTGTTGCCTCAAGTCAACATTGTGCACTTAGACCACAATATTATGCTAATGCATGAAGATATGCTGGGATCTTTAATTAAGTCATTAGTAATGCTTTTACTTTAGTATCTACTAGTACTCAGGAAATGGGCAGAAGAAATGAGATTGGGCTATTAGAGTCTGTTATGGTTTAGTCCCCCTCACCAGAGGGGTGAGGGAGACCTGAGGTAGGACTTAAAAGTGCAGACCCAGGTGCTAGTGAAAAAAGGTGATTTATTTAAGGAGCACAAACAGAGTAACTTGAGTCAACGTATAGTACAGTTACCAGAGTAGGGCAGGGATGGCTTGAGGAGACTAGGACGAGCAGATGAGTAGGAGGATTGCAGGAAACAGGAGAGTAGAGGACCAGGACAAGGCAGGCGAGTAGACAGGAGAACGGCAAATGATCAGTCTACAATTTCAGTGGTAGGTTTATGTGAGCAGTGAGAGACACAACAATAACAAAAAAATCCAGAAAAATGCATTTAAAAAAAAGTTATAAAGTAATTTGCATTTTCATGAATGAAATAAGTATTTCATCCCTTTGCAAAACATGCTTTAGTACTTGGTGGCAAAACCTTTGTTGGCAATCACAGAGGTCACACGTTTCTTGTAGTTGGCCACAAGGTTTGCACACATCTCAGGGGGGATTTTGACCCACTCCTCTTTGCAGATCCTCTCCAAATCATTAATGTTTTGTGGCTGATGTTTGGCGACTCGAACCTTCAGCTCCCTCCACAGATTTTCTATGGGATTAAGGTCTGGA